GGCCGCCGCTGTTCACGTTCCGCGAGGACCTCGCGCTCGGCACCCAGCTGGCCGGGGTCCATCGGCTGCTGAGGGCGCCGCACAAGGTACGACTCGGTGGGGCAAGCCAGGTCCCCTGGACTCAGCCCCTGCCGCGGTGCGCGCGGGGGTGTGGGCGCTGCAGGCGGGTTTGACTGGGCGCGGCCCCCGGGGACAAGCGCCCTAGCGCAGATCCCTCTCCACTTTAAGCAGTGGGGCTCTGGGTACCCGCGGACAGGGGCGGAATCCTCCTGGGCGGGCGGGAAGGACAGCCCCACGCTCTGGCTCAGAGCTGGGGGCCGGTGCGGCCGAGCAGGTGCGGTGATGGCCGGAGGCGGGATGGAGAAGGTTCCCAGTTGCGGGCCGTTAGATCGGTGGGGTGGGCGGGGTGGGGTTCGGATGCCTGTGTTTGGCCCTGGAGAAGGCGCGGAAAGAACCTAGGGAAGAGCTCTGGGCGACGTCGGAGACAAAACCTCTCTTGGGCCTCTGGGTAGCTGCGGGCGGCCTCGCGACCCTCGCGACCCTCGCGACAAAGCATGCTTCCCGGGGACACCTCCCCTTCTTTGCCTGGGGGCCAGCGGCGAGGACGCCCACCGCGCACTGCGGTAGCGCACACAGTATCCCCTTTTTCTTCTGAGAAGCAGGTGGCCTTGGAAACCTTGGAGGAGCGGTCTCTGTGGGAGGAGGGGTGGGGGTGCGGTGTGGGGGGCGGCGCGCGCACAAAGCCTTAGCCTCGGAGCCCCAAATGAGTGTCCCCTGGGAAGAATGGCTTCTCAGTCCACCCGTTAGAGAGTTTTCTTTCATTCTTCTTTTTAAAACTCTTTGAAGGAAGACAGCGTCTTGTGAAGCGATTGTTCTAAAGAGTAGGGTATTGAAAGCTAATCATTTAGTTACCCAGAGAAACCCTCCCACTTAAATAGATTTACTGCACCTTGAAGAATTACCACTTCGTTATATTTTCTGCGTAGGGTTCATGTCAAAGCTTGGAGATGATTTGTTCCTTGAAGATCAACATTGACAAATATGTGGCAAGATAACCCTTGATGCCAAGAAGAACAAAAGTGATTTTGAAAAATTCTTCATATTTTCTGTATGGTGTTCACCTGCTTTGGAAGTACAAGAGGAGGTTGTTTCTGGAAATCAATGGACTTTGACAGTGATGTTTACCCCTTCCATTAGTATACCAGTGCTTCCTCTACTCCACTTAACTAGCAATCCCTTTTCAGGAATGAGAACTGGGGCAGTTCCATCTCATTCTCTTATTGGTGCAGGATGGTTATACTTATTGTACATGAAAACCTTTCTGGCCATTAAAAACACCCTGGATTGGGGAGACAGAGGGACAGAATGCTGTATTATGGGTTCAGCTTATCAGAATCATTTTAGTAAATTCTTTGGTTCTTCTCAATCTGTGGATTCAGTTAAAAGTTTTCAGTTTCTTCTACATCATGATTATTCCATTCATTATGGTCTCTGATTACAGTGATCTTTTGTTGAAACCACAGAAGACTCATAATTGTGGCCTTGTGACCTTGAAGTGGTTTCCTTGGATTTCATACCCTATATATATGGGTTGACCTTTCAAGCTGCAAACTGAAGTATATTTTTATGTTTCCATGGAAGAGCCCCAGTCTTGATCCAGTATTCTTGGCATGGTAGGAGGAAATCCTGGTGTACCCCTCCTCCCCACCCCCCCACCAGAAGCCACAGGATAGCAATTGCACTGGCTCACAGCATTTTCTAAGTTGTCCATTGTGGGACAAACAGAACCAGAAGATATCTTACAGAGAACCTTAACTCTTGTCTTGAAGACCTGCCAGCCTCAATCTCAGAATCTTTCGAGCAAAAACTCCTGGAGCATATTCATATGATTTGTATTTTTTTTCCCCATTCAAGAGCAGAATTTAGGGCATTTATGTAGCTAAGTGCACATTCTTATCTTTAGTTTCCAGGAAATTTATTTATTTATTTATTT